TTTTACGAATATTCGAAAATCAATTTATTCAAGGATATTTGAATATATATATTTTATTTCTTAATTATTTTGGATACGCGTAATTATTTTGGACACTTGTATTTATTTTGAATTTCAAACATTCGTTATGATAAAATATGAATGATTATCGATCGATAACAAATATTAACTTATTTGTAACTTATCTTACTATATAACAACATTTTTCAAAGATAATAAAGAATTTGCAGAAAATTTTTCCTAATACTCAATTTTATAAATCATTTTTAAAATGTCATAATATTCTTACACCTGATAAAAATTGATGGTACTTTTTTGATTTGTATGATGATATAATTTATTAATAATATAGCTTGAAATGAACGATCAAATTGATGATGTTCAAAAAAGAAACTTTATCAATTAAAGAACAAAAAAAATTAATAATAGTTTGTTAGAATTTATACAAATATCTGAAATAATGAGCATACAAAATAATCACGAGTATCCGAAATAATTACGAGTATCCGAAATAATATTCGAAATTCGTAATTTTGGATTTACGAATATTCGAATATGGAGTTATAATTACGGTTAGGAACCTATTTGTAAAGAGAGTAATAGCTCAAAGGTCATGGTTCACAGTGAATTCAATCAAACCAACACCTGGTGATTTAAATTACATTACCCTTGCACCAGAAGGCAGGCCTTAATTATGCAATTTAATTTTGTGCAAATGAGGATGTAATTATGAGTGAATATGCACGTTCATCTTTTAAGAAAGGAAGGCCCTTAAAAGTAGACCCTACCTAATTGAGGAAAAACAAAGAATAATGTTAACAATGATTGACCTTTTAAACAACTTTTAAAGACAAATCACAGTCAGATAAAGCGAGGTATTGGGTATTTATTCCTCAAAGCTACTAAATCAAGTGAAAAAACTGAATTAAAATATACTGTCGCCCAACTGTAGGTCGCCTTGATGAATTCTACTCATGTAACCATAAACCCCGGTTGATAATAAAAGCCCTGAATTTTCCTTTCATGACTGGATATATTCATGTGGTGCAATTATTTAATGGAGAAGGGGGCCGGACGTAGGTAGATTATCTATCACTATGATACAACCCAAGGAATAAGGAATTCTATTCACGGTAACGTAAAAGATATAAGCTCTGTCAATGTATAATCTAGATCTAGAAAACTATAATCTTATGGGTGGATATTGGCAAAATGATTACATGAAAACCATCATGTTTTACTCCAGTTTAAAAATCAGTTTTAAAACTGCAAGACAAATGTTGAGCTGATCACATTATTATTACTGATTAAATTCACAAATCCAGCGTGTATCCTTGGTGCAAGATGAGTCATCAAAAAAAATTAGATTTACAGATTGTCATGCCATCTTTGATAAAGAGCCGCTTAGCGAGGTTGGCTCTTACAATTACATCCAGGAGGAGTAATCCTCTTGTATACTTGTCTTGTAAATTAATACTCGCTTGGTACTGCTTGCAAGTAATAGATTAAATGTTTTAAGAGTTTAGTGGTAAATGTTGATTGAAATAATTTTGTGACACAATTTTTTTTTTAAAAACATATAATCAAATTCTTTTTCAAATTAAACAATCAAGAAAAAATGTACGCAACAAAACCAAATAAAAATCATTCGTTCGAAGATATGATTTGGCATCTTTTAGATAACTATTTGTATAAAAATGCCATATACTTAACGGAAAAACTTTATGCACAAGATCATACGAATGAAAACTTGCTTTTTTTATTAGCAACTTGTTATTATCGTAGCGGTCAAAAGAAAGCAGCACATTGGTTGTTATCAGAGGCTCAATCAATAAAGTGTAAATACTTATTTGCTAGATGTTGTTTAGATCTTTGTAAGCCGGAAGATGGTAGAACTGTGTTATTAAATATTTTACCAAATTTGGAAGAAATTGATCTTTTCGGTAAGCTGTTCTAGACGATTTCAAATATATAGCAATAGATGAAACCAACGTCATTTTAAATTCTATTATTTATTCTATTTTGCAAATAAATAGGTTCAGAGAATTCTTTAACCAGAAATGATAATCCTGATCTGGCATCAGCATATTGCTTGTTAGGGAATTTATGTAAAAGCTCACATAGAGTTAATGAGGCAGCTGATTATTATATCGCTTCTATAAAGTCAAATCCGTTCATGTGGGAAGCTTTTGAAAATCTTTGTAAATTGGGTAAAAAATCAATTTTTTAATTATCCGTCATATATAAACTCAATCTTTTTCTAATAAATAAATGTTTTTATAATAAAATATAGGCAAATCAAACCATCTAGATGTTAAAGAAATATTTACTATAGAGAATGTGAAATCAAATATTGAAAATTCTGATTCTGATTTGGTAATTTTTGCTCTGGGATATTTATATATATATGTGTGTGTGTGTGTGTGTATATGTATATATATGTATTTGATCTGATTATTTGAATACTTAATTTATTTTGTTGTGATTAAAACTTATCAGTTTCCTGTGAATGATGATATTTCTTCACTAAGGGTTAGTGTTAATTTTTTTTATTTGATATTTTTTTAAAAAAGATTTGCAATATTTCTCATAACTTTTAAAAGTAATTATATTATATACTGATATGTTTTCATAACAGTATACTACATTATCTTCAACTCGCAAAATTGATAACAGAAAACAAAAACGTTTTCGTATTACAAATGATGATAAAAGCAACACAGGGTCTGATGAAAATAATACTAATAAAGATAGAAAGGTTAGCTTTTTTTTGTTTGTTTGTTTTTTTTTTTTTTTTTAAAAAAAGTTCTAAAAATAATAATTTTATTAATTAAAAAAATAACAGGAATTAGATATTAAGGAAGTTATGGATATATATCAGAATTTGGCCAAAGGTTATTCATTTTTAAGTCAGTATGAATGTTCTAAGGCTATTGAGGCTTTCTTAGAGCTTCCTACTTCTCAAATAAATACTGGATGGGTACACTGTAATATGGGAAAAGCTTATTTTGAGATGGCAAATTATACAAAAGTAATAATTTAATCATAATTAATTTTCATTTTTAAATTTTAAATAATGTCCAATACATAAACAAATAAATTGATTGATTGATTGATTGATTGATTTATTGATAATATAGGCAGAAGATTGTTTTTCAAAAGCACTTCAATTAGAACCTTATAGACATGAAGATATGGAAATATACTCCACCACACTTTGGCATTTACATAAAGATGTTGCACTCAGTGTACTTGCCCATGAACTTTCAGATTTTGAATGTTCGTCACCACAAGCATGGTGTGCTATTGGTAATTGTTACAGCCGTCGACAAGAATATAACCTAGCATTAAAAGCCTTTGATCAAGCAATACAACTGGACCCATCATTTACCTATGCATATACTTTATCTGGACATGAATCTATGGCAAGTGGTGACGTTGATAAAGCTGTAGAATATTTTAGGAAAGCTTTGCATACTAATGAGCGTCATTATAATGCACTGTAGGTATTATTATATTATTATAGTTTTATATAAATTCTGTTATAATCTTTTCTATTTACAAAAATATATATATTTGTTTATTTATTAGTTATGGACTTGCTAAATATTATGAAACATCCGGTCAAATTGAAAATGCAGAATTACATTATAGAAAAGCTATGGACATTAATCCTAAAAATGTAGCCTTGTTATGTTCTTTGGCCAATGTAAACTTTTATTCTAATATATTGATGATATTACTATTACCATTGTTATTATTGTCAAAAATCAAATAATACGTTAATAGTTTTGTTGCGTGGTGTAAAAAAATTATATAGGTATTGGAAAAGTTGGATAGACATCCAGAAGCACTTTTACTTTACAGTCAAGCTCATGATATTAATCCACAAACACCTCTAGTAATGTATAAAAGAGCAAGAGCATGGTATAAAGATGGTCTATACGAGGTATTATTATTATTATTAATGATGTTATTTTTTTTAATTTATATTTATATGCTTACATACATGTTCATATACATGGATGTATGAAAGCATGCACTTAAAGAACTAGAAAAATTAAGAATGCTTGTTCCAAATGAGCCCAAAATGTATTTTCTTATGGGCAAAATCCATAAAGCAATGGGTAATAAATTTAAGGCTATGGAGAACTTTACTTTGGCATTAAACATGAATCCTAAAATAATGCCAGAAGTAGAGACTGCGATTAATAGAATGGATGATGTATCTATAGAATCTTTAACTGGTCAACCAAAAAAAAGAGTTATAATTTACCGTGATGATTATAGTAATAATAGTAATAATAATAGTGATGATAGTAATGATGATGGTGGTAATAATAATAATGATGGTGGCAATAATAATGATGATGGTGATAATAATAATAATGGTAATAATAACAATAACAATAATAACAACAATTATTAACTTGGCTTTGAAAATAAAGGTTTAAGTCGGGAAAGAATTAACCGAATTCAAGAACAACACACGGCAAGGATGCTTTACTATCATGTATTCGCTTAATATCTAATAAATTACAATAACAAATTTGTGGTTTATAATGAATACTTTCATTTTTATTTTATTATATTTTATTTCTACTATTACTATATCTATCCCTACTACTACTACTACAAAAAAAAATCCGAAATTGTATATTTAATATATTTTAATAAGGAATTAAATTTAAACGTACCCTAAATGAAACAAAATTCGCTACAAACTTGGTGTCAATCCACAAAAGAAAAGCAATAACAAAAAAATTTGGTACATGCATGTTAGACTAGACACCTTTTTAAAAATTTTTATTTTGTGCAAATACTATTACTATCTATCTGCCTTTGGAAAATCATATGCGCTCTCATTAGGAAAAAAAATAGATTGGCAGTTTTTTCCAATTTGGACAAATTCTTGATTATCATCAAAAAATTTTTTAAAAAAAATTTCTAATATTCTCAAATAATATAAAATTATGGGCGACACACTTTCACTCCGGGGTACACTCGATGGTAAAGTTATGATATGATAATTGATCGAAAGAATTATTATTGATTGATTGACTACTTTCATTAATTAATTTGATTATTATTATTATTATGATTAATTTATTTAGGACACTCGGATTGGGTAACAGCTATTGGTAAATTTTAATAATGACATTATTGATTGATTGATTGATTGATTGATTAAATCAATATATTTACATTCATATACGTATATATACATACAAACAATTTGATTAGCTACAACATCGGAAAACCCTGAAATGATTTTATCTTCTTCTCGCGGTATCCATTTATATGCTTTTTTTTTCTCGAGACAAAATTCATTCATTAATTAATCATTTTCTTTAAAAAAAACAGATAAAACCATTATTGTTTGGCGACTGACACGAGATGAACACAATTACGGAGTTCCTCGCAAATCCTTAACAGGTCATAATCATTTTGTACAAGATGTTGTAATTTCGTCAGATGGACAATTTGCCTTGTCAGCCTCTTGGGATAAGACGCTTCGATTATGGGATTTGAATACCGGAACGACTACTCGTCGATTTGTTGGGCATGAAAAAGATGTTTTGACAGTTTCTTTTTCGCCGGATAACAGACAAATTGTTTCAGGATCAAGAGATAAAACCATCAAATTATGGAATACACTTGGTGAATGCAAATTTAATATTCAGGAGGATGGACATACTAATTGGGTATCTTGTGTTAGGTTCTCGCCAAATCCCTCCAATCCAGTCATTGTATCATCCGGTTGGGATAGACTTGTAAAGGTGATTATTATTATTATTGTAATATATACATATATATTTTTGTGTGTTTGACTATGATGTTCAAATTAATACTTATAATATTTGCTACTTTGGAGAAATTAAATATATTTCAAAGAAAAAATTTAACCAGATCTGAGTCATGCATATTTACACATATACATTTATTAATTGAAAATTGAAAGTATATATTTATTATTTTGAAGAATTAACAAAAAATATATACATACATGTAGGTATGGGAACTTGGAAAATGTAGACTTAAAACTAATCATCATGGACACAGTGGATACATTAACACTGTTACCATTTCACCAGATGGATCACTTTGTGCATCCGGCGGAAAGGATGGTATTACAATGTTATGGGATTTGAATGAAGGCAAACATTTGTATTCATTAGAAGCAAATGATATCATAAACGCTTTAGTGTTCAGTCCAAATAGATATTGGTTATGTGCTGCCACTACATCTTGTATTAAGATTTGGGATCTTGAAACTAAAAAAGTTATTGATGACTTAAAACCTGATTTTACAGAAACTGGCAGACACTCAAAAGATCCCGAGTGTATCTCTTTGGCTTGGTCACCTGATGGTACTACATTATTTGCTGGATATACAGGTATAATTAATTATTGATCTCATGTTATTATTGATTATTATTATCGTTATTATTTTACTAATAGATGCTCTTTTGTATTATAATTAAAGACAGCAAGATCAGAGTTTGGGAAGTCCTATAATATCTCACCTATATAAAAGATGATTCTTGTTAAAAAAATTTACGTATTTATTGTTATTTTAATATTATTTTTTTTTAAATAATAAATTAATCTCGTATATGAAAATATGGGCATGCTTTTTTAACATATTAGTTAATGTGTTAAAAATAAATTTTCGTGCAAAATTCCACTTGAACACCCTTGAGCACTAAATCTGCTGAACATTAAAAGGGTTCACTATCAACCGATCATTTACATACTTTCTCTATCTCGCTAGCTATCACATCTTCAAATTACTTTCACTCGTTCCATGCGTATTACCATATCTGGTAAAGATATGCAAATGTCAACAAAAATTTCAGCACGTATAATTTCAACCAACTTGAACTTCGGATCCTCGCTTGAAATATTAACATTCTAATGAAATAAAAACTCTGTAAAATTATTATATTTTTAATTAATTAGCCCTTAAAAAATTGTAAATAAACCTTTAAAAACAAAAATATTGTCTTTATTTTACTTTACTTTTCGCTTAAAATGCTTTGGTAAAAAGCCAGGTTTTATTTGTTTTAGTGTAAGCAAGGGTTAGGACTAGGGATGTCCACCGAAACCCCCCCTTTTAGGTGGTACCGAAACCGAAAGTGTACCGAAAGTACTTTCGAACACT